CAAAAAAAAACTAACGAAACCGAATACTCTCATATATTATGAAAAAAAAAAAAAAAAAAAAACAAAAAACGAAAAATCTACATACACTCTTGTAAAATCTACTCAATAAACTGACATTACGCTCATAACAATTGTTGCTCTTGCTACCGCAACTTGCAACTATGAATCAAACGAACAAACGAACAAACGAACGAACGTACGTACGTACGAACGAACGAACGAATGAACGAAACGAAACGAAACGAAACGAACAATAAAACTATATCACGTCACGCAAAATCCATAACATACCACGTGCGTCTGTTGGTGGTACATGCGTGGGCGAGGAAGGACGAAAACGGCGGCTGGGTTTTGGGAAGAAGGGGAAGTCGTCCTTTACAGTTCATAGGAGCGAGGAGGTCCTGCCGCCGGAGGACGCGGTCGGTGGTAGAAGCGGCCGGCAGCCGAGCTCCGCGAGCAGCGACGGCGAGGGGAGCGGCGACGGGGACAGGTCCGACTTGCTCTCTCTCAGTAGAAAACTCCTCTCTTTTTCATCTCTCTTTCGCTTTAATTTCCTCATTACTTTTGCATTTGACGCGGGAGCGATCGAGAAGCGGGGCCGGGAGCGCGTTCACCATCGTTCACTTGTCGCCTTCGCGACAATGAATTCTGAGTTGTTTTTTTTTTTTTTTTTTTTTTTTCGCGTAAGACCATCGTATCGACGAGTATTAATCGGCGATACGTGTAATAGAGATTGTCCCGCGGATGGAAGAGCGACGCATTGATAGAGATTTTTATTCAGGTATACTCTGAGTCCCATTAATTATAATTATAAATTTGGATCAAGCCTTCGACGAAATGTGAGTACACGTTGCAGGAGGATTTGCGATAGGAAGAACAAGAGCTATCGTTCGACCCTACCGATGAACACCGTTGTTAACAGCAACAATGAAACACATCACACATCACTCTTTAGAGGCCGTGCTTTAGTCGGAGTCGTGCGAGTCTCTCTCGTGATTGTTGTCGGAAAATACTCTCTTACCTAAAATTGAATCGGCTCTAGTACGGCGGATTCGTAAAGGATCCTCGTACGCGTCTAGTATTATTTTTCTTTCTTTTTTTTTCTTCCAGACACAGTCGAAGAGAGAAAGTATTTTGCGAATCTGCACGTTTCTACAAATGGTCACGAGGTGATTCCTTTCCTTCTCGTTATTCTAGATCGTAGATGCTATTTCTACGTAGCATTGATACGTTATTTTCTAGAGAAACGTTCGCACGAGTTTCCTGGGCTGTAATCTAGCCGTAATCGATACGCGTCAAATTGTCTGCCTCCTTTTTGATATTTCACCGGAGATGCAGAATCCATGCAGAGAATCCTCAGTACTTTTTTTTTATTGTAGCACTTTTTTCCGATACGACGCGAGTCACGCAGATCAGGAAACTCATATCCTAGTTGCACAAATATAGTTGTGCTGGCGCCTTTTCGTGACTCTAGAATAGTGTCTCGGCACCGTGTGTCACGTTATAATCGTTCCGTTCTATGCAGCTTTTGAATCTAGATCGTCGCGTGGTCAATTTGAATTTTTCGATTGCATCGAGGTAAGTTGGCCACCTGTGATACGTTATTTTTTTTTTTTTTAATTATTTCTTAGAAGCCGCTGTTGATACGTGCTTAAGGTGAGAGTGCGCTACTCACACGGCTTTTGACTTTTCGATGTCCTGAATCGTTGCAATGCTTTTACAGAGCATATTTACGTTACACGCACACACACGCGCGCGCGCGCGCGTGCGTGTGTGTGTGTGTGTGCGTGTGTGCGCAATATTATTGATTATGAATCCATCGCTGAATGTGCCATCAGATAGATCATTACCGGATTAATCTTACGCACTACTACGTACTAATTTGACAATTGTTATTCTGTTTTATGATTTAATGTTGTATAAATTATGAATGTACAAAGTGTATGTGTACATATATAATTGTATGCATAATTATTTATGTTCAAAGGCGTCCAAAGAATATATTAAATAATCACTGAAAGTAGAAGGTTGAAAATAAAAGATATAAATTAATAAATAATTTTACTAAAGTTTCGGTTAATTAAATTTTACATACAACATTATTATACATAAAAAACATTATTTTTTATTATTTCTGATTAAATTTTTACAATTAAATTACGATTAAAATTTGTATCTCGACAGCCTATAAATTTATTAGAAAGAAAATTGATAAACTATATCAAATGACGACTGAAAATTCTCTTGTAAATATGCTTTATTTATTGCTATTCAACAAATTCTTATTAAATTGTCAGTGATGTTTTTTTTATCCATCAATCGATTTTGTTTGCATCTAGTAATCCCAAAGAGGAATGTTCTATTATAATTTACGCAAACATTATTGCGTTATTATTTATGATACGAGAAACGTCAAAACTTAAAGGGCACTAATTATAAGATTAAATATATTTTTTGTGTTGATGTCAAATGCACATACCCGTGCAATGTTATCCCGTTATATATTTCACTCTAATTATCATACTTCAATAAATTTTCATATTCCTTTCTATTCCTTTATCTACATAAGATTCAATTCAAAGTTCTTCTCGAGTTATAAGATCTTATTCCAGCTCTGCATTTTTTACCACTGACCATTAGATTATTTCTGGAAAGCAAGCAGGGAGACATCGAATAAAAAAAAATGAGAGAGCAAAGGAAAGAGGGCATGAAGGAAGAAGCTTGCACGAGAGAGAGAGAGAGAGAGAGAGAGAGAGGAGGGAGGGAGGAGAGAGAG